TAATCTATCATAGGTCTCATCACCCAAAGACACCTTATGTTTTCGTTGATCTCAAAATTGAATTTCATAGGTTGCATCACATCCATAAATCATTACAATCATGCGCGCGATCAATGCAAGAGTAATTACTGAAGGTGCCCTCTAATCTCAAATATCTCTGAGAGTATAAGATCCATTTTCTTGAGAACACTCTCACTCCTCCCTTGTCATTCATTATAGTTGACCTACTTTCCTCTAGTAATATCTATGTTGATATGATCATAATAATATCAAATTATCATACATTGCTTCTAAGTAAATAAAATACTTTTTGACATCAGTAGCTCAATGATCATCTCATTGGTAACTTTATGAGTAAAATGGGGACTCATTTTAAAACCTTAGGGCTGCTGAGGGAACCTTACAATTAAGAATTCTTTGGGCAAAGATTCGTCTTTGAGGGAGGCACAACCTTATTGTCTATAGGAGATCAAGGAAAGCAATGATTACTATGAATGCCACTAAATTAATTTCATAGTCATAGATGCTAAGAGGATGTCACTAAGGATGTGATCCATCTTGATACAAATTACGTGCAATCCAAGAAGAATTTCTATGAAATTTTGAATCCATAGGCATGAAAAAATCTAAAGAATAATTTGATTTATATAATAAGAAATCAAATATTTTGAAGAATAAAAATTGTGTCAAGATGTCCTAATATAAATTCATCAGAATTGATTTGAAATTCACTATATTTACTTTACGATTAGTGCAGTATATATAGATTTTTCATATACCTCAGTAATCTCTCAAAGCAAATTTATTGGTTTTTTAACCAATTATGTTATAATTTATAGAAAGATATTCTTACATAATATTTTTCCTATTTTAAAAGGCTATGTGTGAACCTCAACAAAAGATCTTCACCATTTTCACAAGCAAAAGAACTAGAGGGTAAGTATCTTCACACATGTACATCATGCTCTAATAAAACACACATCCTTTAGACCATATATTTCACTTACTTTCTTACAAAATTATATATATAAAGCCTAATAGAATCTTCACAACTTTCTTACTATCCAAAACAAACATTCATTCACATACCAAAGCATTCACTTCACAGGCAATTCAACCTGATCACTGCACTCCTCTCCACCGGATCTCGCTTAGCCTTAACCAAACGTTTCAGCATCTTCATATACTTTCTAATAAAGCTCCCCTTCCTCGTCACAAGAGCTAGATTATTACTGCTCTTCTCCTCCTCCACTGTTTCTCCTCTATCCAACCTTTCCATCTCAACTACTTCATCTTCCTTCTCCACCTCTGCTTTCATCTCATCACCCTTAAATCTCTCCTCTTCTTCCATCGTTCTCCTGCTGTTATTATCCGTCATCAGCTCCTTCAGCGAAGAATGATGAAGATAAGCCAGCTCGTCTTCTTCCTTCTCAAGCTCCTCCTCCTCATTGAAGACCTTTGGCTTCCTTGTTCTCTTTGACATGCTCAGATCAAAGCGCCGAGAAATCATGTTTGCGTTTGAGTTCTCTTCATGATTGAACATTGTGTTTGATGAAAAAAACACAAAAAGAAAACCGAGAAGCTCTGTGATTTTGTGCTTGTTTTAAGGTTGAGGAAGGATTGAAGGAAGGAAGGGTAGGTTCATTAAAAGTTAAGAGGTCGGTTTCTTGTGATAAAGTTGTGAGTGAAAGATGGTCTACTCTTGTCTGATTTTGTTTTGTTTTGAGAGGGAGAGTGTAACAGATGGCTGATTTAAATGGTATTGATGTGCATGAATGAACAACCTCTCATTATTTAGGAATTTGGCTTTTTGGTTATAATACATTTTATAAAATGGGTATAAGTTAAATAAAGGCTCATCAAATATTTTTCAAAATTATTATTATTTTTAAATTAATTCTATTTCATAAATTATATCCAATCAAATTATGGATATAATTCTTTTCAGTATTTTTAAAGTTTTTTTTTTTAAAATAATTTTAGGCAATAAAATAAGCCCTTATAAAAGGCTTGTTTGAGGGAAATGTTATTATGTGCGGATGATATCCTAGACGGTATCCAAAGACCAACCAGTATGTGCAACGTCACTTTTTTGCTCGGTACCGACACTCTATACCAAGTGTCCAGACCGTCCGGTGTCCGCACAGAATAATTTCTCTGTTAGAGATAGAGCTAAACATTTTGAGAACTTATTAAGAGCTCATGCTAATAAAAAGCTAAGGCATCTCCAACCAAAATCTCATTTTTCACTCCAAAATGACGTGAAACTAAAAAATGCTATGATTTATCTCCAATCGAACTCCATTTTGCCCCGTAACGATCGCTCTCTTATTTTCCACGTTTCTTCGGCAAGTTAGATAGAGACCAAAAAATGATGAAGATGAACAGTGCAATTCCCATATTGGCGTCGCACTGTTCATCCGCGATGAAATGACATAAGAATTGCCGCTCGGTTGGAGCGACGGAAGAACGACAAACAGTTGTTTGCCGTTCAATTGGAGATGCTCTAAGCGGTTGTTTTATTCAATATTATTTATATTTCAATATTATATGTCAAATATTTTGTATTTTATTTAATATTATGTCAATATTAAAATAAAGTAATAGGATTGTTCAAATGTCTTCATTAGATAAATTTGATTGACATCCATTGCCAATTAAAAAAACTTAAGTATTATTTTTTAAAATGTTATTTAAAGACATCATGAATCAAATATGATAACCCATATTGTTATTGATTGTAGATAGGAAATATATTTTTAAAAAAGTTTAATTTGTATTTATTTCATGCATAAAAATTCAATATTTTGAGGGTGCGCCCCCACGAGTTTAATTTAATGATTTGAAAATATATGTGGGTTATAAGTAGTATAGTTGATAATGAACCTAAAAACTATTGTGAAAGTATTGAGATAATGTATCAACTTATCATAGGCTTAAAAAAAAAGGAAATTCATCAAATTTCTATATAATTTACTCTTAATGGAAAAAATGGCTTTTCTTCATATTAGTGTCAAATTCTCATAGTTTTTATTTTTTAAACTGATAAGTAAAATTAATTATTATAATTATGAGTAAATTATCTTCTTAATCATCTAACTCATCCACTCTAATAAACACAATGCCATACATCAAGCCTCATATACTTTCATGGAAATTCACGCTTCATTTGGGGCAACTTTAATTCTTATTGCTTAATTTCTAATGTAGTTTTTAAGTAAATATTTTTAATTAGAAATTTTTGCACTAAAAAGCTGTAATAAAAATCAGCAGGAAAGTTGTCCCAAACGAAGCCTCATGCACCACCAAAAATCCCAATTAGAGCCATCGTAGAATATTTTTATTTTATTTTATTTGTTTATTATACAAAAGTGAAGTACTAATCAGTTGGCCTTTAATTTAATTGAACTTATTTTGATTAATAAAAAAAATTCATCCAATTATGTTTGTGATGCAGTCAAGTAGGGCAATAACTGAACCGAGCGTTCAACAAGCTACTCGTGGCTCGACTTGATTAACGACCGTTCATGTTTGTTTGTTTAAGTTATCAAATAAGTTTAAATAATTTTTGAAATACTTGACTGTTAAATAAAGAAACATGAACAGCTATGTGTTTATAAATATACCCGCATTAAAAATTTTTCAACAAAAAGAATATGATTATGATAATCAATTTATAATTAATTTTAAATTGTTCATATTTACATATAAATTAGCATAATGGTAAAGTTATACCCTGACCTCATAAGCAAAACATTCTGCCTTAAAAGTCCTTTCCAGCAGAAGCAATTTCGAAAGAGTAAGAAGAAAACTAAGCAGCAGTTACTTTAGTTTAAAGAGAGAAGAAAAAGGCCATCTTATGCTGTTTTCCAATAGAAAGTCTAAGCAATAATGAGAATATAATTAAAAAAAACTTTGAAAGCAAAAAAACCATTATTATTTTCCTTATTCATAATTAGTTTAACATTGAAAATAATTTTTTATTAGATTTAAATGAAAATTTAAGTATTAACAGAGCACAATCAAGACAAATGATTCATATAATCGACCTCAAAATACTAAAATAGTGAAATAAACTCTTAATATTATTGTTGTTTTTGTATTCATGATCAATTTAACGGATAGGCACATTACTCGTATATCCTTAAAAAATCAATTTGCTCAATCTTTAATTTTTTTTTTTACTCCTAACTATGCATGACAGTACGCAGCTCATCTTGATCTGTAAATTAAGAGCTTTAGCTATGAATCTAGAGATCTTAAGTTCGAACCTTATATATCTGATGTGTGTGTGAGTTTGACTTAAGTTCCGTTTGTGACAGCTTTCGTACTGCTTTTTAAAATGACTTTTTTAGTAAAAAATTTTAAATAAAAAGTACATGACAGTGGTTGCTTATAAATCAGATTGTAGAAATTATTTCCAATCAACAAAATCTCTACTTCAGTAAAGAACTACAACTTTCTAGAGATTGTGTCCAAGTTGACAGAAATAGAAAAAGCTTGGATTTGCATAGTTGTACTGTTTTACCTAACCATTTACTAACATTTCAATGAGAAAAGATTCTTAGATTTTAATGCATCTTTGAATTGTTAGTGAAGGATTGATAAAGTATGATCTTGTTGGTGGATTGATAAAATTTTTGGTCTGATTTGTTTTTTTTTTTTTTATATATATAAAAGGTAAATAATTTTCTAACTATTCATATATGATCAATTTAATTTCGAAGTATCACCTTCAATTTTAATCTCGCAATTAGGAAAATTGATCTTTTTTTTTTTTTGAATTATTTGAATTAAATTTGTATATCACAATTATAATATTCATAATCATTTTGAATCAATTTTATATAGCTGAAAGACTGAATCAAATCATCGTGATTAAATTGATCATACCCAAATAGTTTGTGAACTAATTTGACATTTTTGTATATATACGATATAGTGGCACCCAAATTAATAACATACTAATGTATGATAGATAACTATAATAGAATTATGTACATGGATGATTTGATAGAAATGGGTGAGATTAGGGGTGCAACCGAGTCAAGCTGGCTCGAGCTCGACTCGGTAACAGACTCGACGAGTTGAGATTATCAAACTTGCAAGTCGAGCTAGAATACGATTTCGAGCTCGAATAGCCCTCCACTCGAACTCGCGAGCTTGTCGAGCAACTCGCGGAACGCATTTGTAAGCAGGAAAATGAAATCGCGGGCGGAAAAAACAATGGACGACGGCAACGGACAGAAGCTTGCGACGGACGGGGGCTGGCTTGAGTGGATGAAGGCAACGACGACGACTGAAGCTGGCAAAGATGACGCAAATGCTGGCGACGACACGGACGATGGCAACTGCAAAGACAATGGCGACGAACGTTCACACAACGTACAGGCTAAGCTCGAACTGCTGCTCGAGCAGCTTGACGAGCTCTTTTTTCCCTTGTCGAGTCAAGTTCGAGCTTGACTTTTGGGCTCGATTCAAGTTCGAGCTCAAGCTCGATATTTGACAGCCGAACTCGACTCGACTCGTTTGCACCCGTGGCTAAGATTGAGTTGATAGCAGCACGCCAAGGGCGGATATCTAGCAAATCAGGTAGTGGGATCAATTCCCCCTAAAGCAATGGCAGTGACAGCCAATTGGTTGTTATCAGCCTTCTATCACATATACAATGTCAATAATATCAATATATCTTTGACATATCTTTTGGCTCTGATACGCATCAAATAAACTCTTGTGATATTCAACCATTTATCTTTTTAAAATCAACAAAAATTATAAAAAATATATTGAAGAACATTAATTGATGAATGGTACATGTCAACATGCAACATTAGATGCAAAATGAGTTACAGCTAAAAAATGCTACAATCTGAACAAGAATCCCATATAAGCAAAAGCTTAGCCAAACGCTATGGTAAGGGATTACCAGCAGAAGAACAATAGCAAGAGCACCAGGACGAGATATCCAGATGAAAATGCTTGAAGTCTTTCAACACCAACACTAGGGCTTGAGTCAGATGCTGGTCCTTTGCTCGCCGAAGAGTTTGTAGTTGAGCTGAACAAAGAATTTAGAATAAATATGGATTAATTATGTTGGTGATGAAAAGAAAAAAAGGCTTAAGTTTTTCTCTCTGGCTTACCTTCCTGCAAATATGCATAAGCCATGGCCTGTAGCAAGATTGAGACGTGGTTAGTAAAGGAATAAATATACCAGACATCTTAAATGTGATTTTCTGCTTAGTTTTCATAGCTAAAGTGATAGGAAATACTTGAGTTATTAAGTAATCCAAGAGGAAATACTTGAGTTTGTAAGTAAATCTAGCAATAATTGATAAAAACAGCGGAAATAAGGCGATATTCTCAACAAAATCAATTCAAAATGATAGATTTGTAATAGTAGATTCAAAGCAAAAGCAAATACAAAGCAAGATACAATTGATCGTCAGTTCGAGAGGAGGATCGTTCTCTCCCAGTCTCTAGACGATGAGTCTAGAGCCCAAGACTCTAAAGAAACGTCAAGAGAACCCCAAACAAATCAAAGCATAACCCTATCCCTAATCTCCCCTCCCATACTTAAGGTATACAATTAATTATTAAATCCAAATTACTCCCTTGCCCTTGCCCTTGCCGCCCCCTCCTTTGCCTCCAATTAGTTTGAATTTGAATAGCTGGGGGTCCCAATCTCTCTCTCTCTCTCTCTCTCTCTCTATATATATATATATATATATATATATATGCCGCCGCCCCTTCTCCTGTAGCAAAGAACCTGCCTCTTTGAAGGGGCTGGTTGGAGTTGGGCCGGTCCAGTAGGGACCGGTCTAACATAAAGCTTATCCATCACATTGCATTTTACAAATTATGATCAAATTAGTTAGGTAACTTTTTTATTTTTAAAATATAAATCTTCAGAACTCACTGTTTTCCCAGGAAAAATTTTGCCCATTCCAATCTAACAGAAGTTACTTAGTACACCTTGAGAGCAGGAACTAACAACAAACATACCAAAATCTGTTAAAAAATAAAGAATGTAGAATAAAATGTTAAGCCAAAATCTGTCTTCACTAAACTATGAGTCTATGACCTAACAAGGAGGATTCCCTTTACTAGATGTTTTTAATCTAGTATGTTCAAGTAGCAGTTGCAACTTTCACCATGAGGCATCTATTTTACACTTGAGGAGTGCCTGAAACTCACTCGGATAACCAAACTGCAAAGGAGCAACACTAAGCAAGCCTCTAAAGGATGCCAAATTATTACGTGCGGCATCCGGATTCGTCTGGAGGCGAATCCGGATGCGCCACGTCACCCAGACCCCATCGGATCCGGGTGACATGGCGTATCCGGATTAGCCTCTGAACAGTCCGGACACCCCATGTAATAATCTGCCCTCAAGGACACTATCAATGCCATCTCATCCAATCTCAGATAATAGCAAGTACTAAAGTAGCTTCAAAATCAATTTGATTTTAAGAATCATGGCAAGCTAGCTTGACGGAACTTATGCAGAAAGATTTACCAAAAATGGCAAATTAGATGTAGGAGAAAAACAGAAAACTTACTGGGATCATTTGTCGTTATCACGGCCGTGTTGTCGAAGTTGCATGTTCCACCACTTGCCTGAGTTCTATGGTAATAATCATTGTAAGCATAGGAAGCAACTGCAGAAAGATCATCAGATTCATAACATGGCTGCCCAGGCTGGATTGAACTGCAGTTAGCCCCACCAGGTCCACAAGCCCAATCGAGTCCTTGCTTCAAATTTTGCGAGTTCGCACTCGACTTAGCCACACAGAAAACACCAGACAACCCAGATGAGATTGTGCCATCATCAACCACACTTTCAAAATTTAGAGAATATACAGCCGTTCCATTTGGAAAGAATACTCCCCAATTCTTCTCAGAAAGAGGCCCAGCTCTAAGATCTTCATTGAACAACTCATAAATGTAAGTGTTAATTGGCATTTTTGGTTGACTTGGGGTACCAGAATTATTTAGCACATGGTGTATGAGATTAGTATTGTAAGCCAAAGCATTGTCAACATTGGCATCCGTTTCATTGTCCCCACCACTCGACGGCCAACCCGACTGCGTCACTATAATAGGAATGCCTGAGAAATTGAGTGCTTGTATGGCGAAGTACACAGCATCAACCATTGTGTCAAACATGTTTGTGTAGCTAAAAAGTGTGTTGGGATCCAAAATCTGATTGTCCGGATTTAGCGAACGGAAAAGCGCATATTCGATGGGGTAGATGCCGTTCGCTTTGGTATAGCTATAGTATGGCTGAGCATTCAACATAAAAGAGGACCCTGTGTTCTTCAAGAACTGGAGATACTGATACATTATGGAATTCAGTGTTGAATTAAATGTGGCAGTTGAAGGGGGAAAGGATTGGGGAATCACATTTACAGAATGTGGGCTCGAGACATGAATCTGAAAATCGAGGTTCGCAGCTAGAAGAGCAGAATGGATAAATTGCATGGCAGGAACAAGAACAACAGCAGCATTTGGAATAGAGGTGAGGACTTCATTTCCTACAGCAATATAGGTGATGTTAGTTCCAGGAAGATAGGCTGCAATATTTTTGTTAATCCAATCTGCAGCTGCTGATCTTGATTCCCCTATTTGTAGCAACTGGTCATTTGGAACACCAACCATAACCTCTATTCCAGTATTTGCAAGGGCAGTCAGTAACTGATGGTCTGCCTCAAATAGCCGAACATGCTTGATTTTTTGAGCTTGAAGAATGGAAACTATAGTGGATGCAGAAGGCAAATTGGATATGTCTGTGCCAATATTAATACCAACAAATGAACCTGTTGAGAGAGAGCCAAATGAGTTATTCAGGAAGTAACTGCAAAGCGAAGTTACAAATACACAGTATACACAGTATGAAATCAAAGAATATCATAAAGTAGTTACAAGTAAAATTTAAGTGGTTTGAATTGTGATAAAAGGATTCATATTGCATGCCAAGACAAGTAAAGGAATATAACATTCAATGGATATATTTGGATCTGAACTAGAAAGTATAAATCATGGAGAATTTGCTCTTGCAAAGGAGAAGTTTGTATGGAAATCCTTCAATATAAAATAAATAAAATAATACTTCAAAAAATAAGATAGATTTAAGTACCTAAAGCATGTGCGAGTAGGAAAGAAAGTAGTACAATGCCTCTTTTCCATATTCCAAGCAGCATCTGGCTGCCAAACACCCAAGAAACTGAAAACTGAAAACCCCCAAGAAACTGAAAGCTGTAAGAACCAGAAAACCATTTATTCAGCCATAAATTTAATGAATTTTCCAACTGAATAGAGATTTCCTCTTTGGATTCGCTTAAAAAATACATTAGCAACAAGGTGAAATAACAGAAAAATAGAAAATGATTAGGGAAATATTGAAAAGAATAGCAATTTGAAGTAAACATGGCCAGATGAAATTCAAGTGATTCTCTGCAATCAATATAAATTTTCAAGGTTGGTTTGGTCAATGCTGAAGTTGTAGTTTGCAATCATACTAGATTCATAACCACTGAGATCATAATAATTAGCAATTCAGATACTTAACAAGACACTTAAAAAAGTCTAATTGCCTGATTCTAGTCATGAAGCACCTATACTTTTCATATTTTTAAATTCAAACAATATGCCCTTGTCAATCTAGGCTTCTTGTTAGTTATTCAACAACAACAACAACATCAAGCCTTTGTCCCATTACGTGGGGTCGGCTACATGAATCCTTTTTCGCCATTGTGTCCTGTTAAAAGTCAAATTCTCATTTAAATCTAATAAAGAAATATCATTTCTAATATTTTCTAACCAAGTCTTTTTAGTCTCCGAGTTAGTTATTCACTGAAAAAAAAAGGATTGAAACTACAAAGTTTGGCATCAAGATTCATGATTTATGTCAAAGCCCGAGCAAGCAGTTAACTTATGAAGGATTGAAAGGAAGCTTAGGACAAGCAATTTAATGGCTACGGCCACCGACATCAACATCAAATTTACCCAGAGAATAGAAGATATAGAAACTGAAGCTTATAACATATATTGTTTGTAAGCTCCCTCTTTGCTTATGATCTTTTTTTTTTCCTCGGAAAAAAGATACCTCGAGCGTGATCAGTTAGTTCTTGTTCCAACTAAAGTCTTACATATTCTACACATAATAAATTTCACAAACCCACAAAATATTTAAAGCTTGTAATTTAAAACATTAAGGATGCATTTCAATACTCAAAAATTTAGCCATTTATTCCATGCATATTGTGTCAAATTTGACCAGGTAAGTGCCAATGGCTTGCAAAAGAGGAGAGAGAGAGAGGCTTGAGAATATAATGAATCCCACATCATAAGTAAAGGGTTAGGCTCAAATATGGAATACACCTTTTGATGTAATGGGAAGAGTTTTATTGAGAACCCACAATTAAGCATGCTCGTAATACAACATTCATAGGATGGGTAACATTCTAGGATGTTGCACCAAGATAGATAAAACAATGAGACTCGACCTAGCATGGGATGGGTTGAGTGAAAGGGAACAATAGCTTATATAATGTGACTAGAGTAGGGGCGGAACCCCTTTGATCCCGACCCCTAAAAAATTTATTTTTTTTCATTATATGATTATTTAGGTTATTTGTCTCCCTCAATCTATTTTTTAGTCTTTATTATAAGGGTTTTTAGGCAATTGCCCCCCTCTGAAAGTTTTAAAATACTATGGTCTTTAGACAATTGCCCCCAGTATAATTAAATATATTGTGTAGAGTTGTTATTGTTAGAGAATGATGAATCAAATACAAAAAGAAATAATAAATCAAAATTAAGGTCGAATCCCACCAGGGGGCTCTATCCCCTTGGACCCTCGACATATCTATCAACAGTGCTAAATAGTAACTTCACCATAGATTTTAGGTTAAATAGCTCATTAGTAGCAATTATGAATACACTAAAGATATGATAAGAGGACTTAGGAGAGTGGTAAGGTTTCCTCCATTAATATACATATGTTACAAGTTTTATCCACTAAAGCATACTCCCTACAAATCTAGGGGTTTGGCCACATACATATCCTCTTCTAAACCCCACAGTGGTGAAAAGCTCATGCACTGGATACACCTTTTCTCTAAAAAAAAACTGAAGAACTTTTATCAGACATGGCTGAAGCCACATCTGTTAAGTACATTGTCCATTTAATCATATGATAACATGCGTTGGCCTAAATCATGATCATCTAGCAAAATTTTTTTCTCTTCATTTTTAAACATTCAGAATGACTAAACAAATTCCAGTAAGCAAATTAAAAAGCTAGAAAGACATTTTTTGCTTTCAGAAATAAGAAAAAAAAGTAAATTACTAAAATATTAATTATGACTATCCATACATTTTTATCTAAAAAAAAACATTTTTATCTCATTTTGATTATTTTCTCACTTATTTTCATCGATTAAACTAAAGCATTGAATGGAAAAAAAAAATAAAGACTAAAATTACAATGTTCCATTTTCGCTTGTTTCCTGTTAGAAAAGATTAATCCCAAAATAAACTTTCAAAATCCATCTGTAATGCATGAACACAAAAAGCCCTCAGCCAGAAAACGCAAACCACCAGAAAGCTATAGTAATGCAAAAAACTAAAAAAGAAGAACAAGCTTCAAACATAATCCTTTATTCCATCCATGAATAACTAGCTACTTTCGAATTATTCTCTCTAAAAAAAGAGATATTTTAGCTAAGAAGAAGGACTGGTGCATATTTCCATTTCTAAGATCCTCTGAAATAACATCATAACATTTTCTTTAATCCCTCCAAACTAAGACTTTTCCCAAACCTACTTCCATAAACCCCCATACTTCAGCAAACTAAGAAGATAAAATCCCAAAGAAAGAAAAAAATAATCAAAACGTTAAAAACATAAGGCCAAAATTAAAAAGAAAGAACAGGGAAACAGAGGAAGAATACAGAGAAATAGTTCCTCAACAAAATTGCACCTGAACAAACTTGCCTTTGAAAGCTTAGAACCCAGAAGAAGAAGAGGCCCAACAGGAGGGAGCTTGAAGAAGACGAACCGAAGCAGGCCCTCAGCTCACGAGCTACAGTTATCTTCAGAATCTCCGTACAGCTGAAATATAATCTAATTTCCGAGCTTCAGATGAACCGAAAAACCTCTTCCGCTTCCCACCTTCATCAATGCAGAAATCATACCGGATCAGCTCTTTAAAAAAAAATTTAGCAACGATGGCTAATTAATTCAATACACGGCTAAATATGATTAACTCCTGATTGAAATGTAATAAAGTGGTAAATCATTATAATCTATTGAAATCCCTTTGGGGTTCGGAGCCCGGCGCTTCTGTCAGTTACAGCTCACTGACTATGCTGATAACATTTCTTATAGTTTTTTATAATTGTTTTTTTAATAAATATTCGTTATTTTCACCCTAATAAACCTGGGCAAGAAAATGAGTCTCTTTTAGTCTTTTATGAAAATGCGCCTTCTCACGATTTTACCTGTAATTTAAATTTAGTTAATTAAACTTTATGAAAAACGAATTATACAATATTTTCTATTTAAATAAAATAAAATTGGATGGGTGTAGTTATCAAGTAAATTTGCTTACATGTTCAAAAATACATTTATAGAAATAATAATATTAGTTTTATTCATTTCGTGTATTTAAAAAAAATTATTATTTGCATATTATTAAAATAATAATAATATTATTATTACTAAAATCATTAAGATTGTGTAGATTGAGGGGGTTAAAAGGCAAAGATTTTTCATTATTACCCATTTTTTAACCAAAAAAAATTCCATTAGAAAAGAGAAATATTACACCACAAGGTCAAAAGCTGGTCATATATAGCAAGATTACAACCAGTGAAAATATAACTCATGTCAGGGGCAACCAAACAAAATAGACCCAAAGGCAGCTCGACTCAAACCGTCACCTGGTTGTCAGGTTTGGGCCATCCAAGGAGGAAAAGAAGATATCATTAGAAGTTACAAGTTTAATATGTTCTCAAAAATCAAAATCCACCAAAGTCCACCTAGGTTGCGAATCAAGTCATGGTCGTCCGAGTTGCATACAGGAAACATGCTTCATCATTATACTAGTGCAATACCACCATAATAAATAAAATCACCACCAATAAGTGCCCATCAACCACCTGAATGAAGCTCACAAAAATCGAGAAATAAACAAAACAACATAATCATAGCAGAAAAACCTCCCAAAACAAAAAATCAACAAAAATACCAACAAGTCAGCACAACCGATAGAACAAAAACCTGTCGCACCAATCCAACGTCTAGAATCATTTCTTTTTAGCTTTGTGTTTTATATGCTTCCCACTATTTTTAAAGAAACTAGCATCCACATTTTGAATGAGACTAAGGTCAAAGTTGTCTCGCTCCTTAAATTTATTTTCATTTATATCTAATTTATTTTCATTTATATCTTGACCTTCTACATAAGAATTTCCATAATCTAACCAATCACCTTGCTGCAGCACATTATCTCTAGCAAAGTGAGCTAACATATCATCACTGGAAATAACAGAAATAGGAATATTAACCAGAGGCAGCTCAACTTCATCGCTACCCACATAATCCACCGAAGTATGAATAGGTGAATTAAATAACCCATAAGTCACAACATCCAAATTACCCTACCCCATTGAAGTTCCAACACACCCAACAGCTAAAGGAACCGAGCTATCACCCAACTCGTCCACAACATCAGCACAAGTAGGACTAGCTTTAAGGTTCATGCAACAGTTATTGGCATTCCTATCAATGTCAACATCATCAACATCATCTATATTAGCACAATCGATATTCACAGGCACATCATTAGCTAAAGGAGCAACTTCCTTCTCAGCATAAAAAAAATTATTCAAGGGTGAGACAAGAGCTACAGGATTAGCAGCTTCCACCAAGATACCAGCATCTTGCCCAACATCAGAATCAGTAAGACCAAAAGCCTGAACCAAATCATTGGCACCTCAAGAAACAACATTGCCCATCCTAACCCCCATATATATAGCATTAGCATTAACATTAAGCGGTTTAGAGGCATTAGGACAAGCAGTAGGCGGGATAGAAATAGGCCGACAATTACCACTCAAATGCCCTATGCATTTATAAGAAGCACAAAATGAGGGGAAAGCCTCCATAACAATATGCTGAATATAGCCAAATTTCTCATGTCCCAACCACTTTGTCAGGATAAGTTTTCGTCACCAACATCAATAAGAGGATATCATTTAGTTAATTTCATAAAGCAATTGTTAACTAAATAAGATCTATCATAGAAAATCCTACTATAATCAAGATCACTAATCATTTTAATCAAATTGTACGACAAATCAAGCAAGGTAACCAAGACTTCACCAGTAAGCTTAAGGTTGAAGAAGAACCTACGAATGGAGTCAAGAGTACGTATAAGTATTACTCATTTTCTTTATGCTGATGATTTACTATTTTTGGAAAAGCTACTACTGATAATCTCCATGCTTTGAATAATATTCTTCATTATTTTGGCGAGGCTTCTGGGCTCAAATTTAATACTTCCAAGAGCTTCATTATGTATTCTAGGAATCATGATAACAATGCTTCTCTTAGTGCTATTCTTAATCTCTCTACTCAAGCTTCTATCACAAATTACCTTAGCATTCTTATATATATATATATATATAAGACTCAAATTCAGTCAAAACTCTAATCTAATAGTGATAGTAATCTATAACAACATAAAGGATAAAATTTGACACAACTTGAAAAAAATTAGTAATTTTAGATTATTTTTTAAAGTATTTTTTGTGAAGGTTGTTGCGTTTTATAAAGTTAAATGTGAAGCTATGGTATGAAAAATAATCGAATTATCTTGATTGCGAATGAGAACTTTTTATCACAGAAATTTTAAAAAAGTAGTAGTTGAATAAAATTATAATTGCTGTTGAAAAAGAAAAATAATTAGAAAGGTGTCACAAAAAGGGAAAATTATTAGGTCTGGTCACTTAACAGAGACATACATCTGAATTTCTCTCTGCCTACAGTAAAAGAGCAGTCAAAATGTAGCTACTACAGTAACTATGTTTTACTGTAGATAGAGAAAAATCTGGATGTATTTCTCTGTTAGGTGACCGGACCTAATAAATCGCCTCCAAAAAGACACTTAAGTTTCGTTTGGAACGGTTTTTTTACTGCATTATGAAACAGTTTTGTAGTATAAAAATTTCAAGTTTAAATAAATTTTACACTAAAAAATAGTTGTAAAAAGCATTAAAAAACTGGGCATTGGAGGATTGATGAGTACTGTATCTGTATGTACTCATGGAGATAAATAAGTTGAATGGAACATTGGCGTTTGCCGTTATATATATTAGGGCATCTCCAACCGAAACTCTCATTTTTCACTGCAAAATGCAGTAAAATAAAAAAGTGTCGTGATTCATCTCCAGTGGAAAGCCATTTTGTCCCAAATCATCGTCGTTTCTTTTGCGCCTTTCTCAAACTGAGCTCGGTAGAGAGAAAGAAATTGTAAAAGTGAACAGTGCGACGCCAATATTGGCGTCGCACTGTTCATCAGCGACTGAATGACGGTAAAAATGGAGTTCGGTTGGGACGTCTGAGGCTCTCCATTCACCTGTTTGCCGCCGAACGGCTGGAGAAGGCCTTACCCATAGAAATTCACATTTTTAACCTATTTAATTCCCCCAAAAATATAAATTGATTTTGTCCTAAGGAAAATAATCACATATTTTTAAGTTTTATCATAAAAAGAAGCAGTCCAATAATATATTTTATATAATGTGTTAATTTTTTCTTCAAAATTATTATAAATATCAAAAACAACTCATAGGCATTTAGCCTAAATGTATTTGACGGGAATATTACATGCAACTCTTGACATCTCTTTTAGCATGAGAGAACAAAAGTAGTTGAAAAAATGGCCATCCTATCAAGGATTAAGGAGCGAAACATATAATGAATTTTTTATAAGATTCATGAAATATTTATATATCATCAAGGGAATTAATACTAATAGTTTAGTTGAGTGTTTAGAATATTAGTTATATTTAGCGGGCAAATCACTTTCAGAATCTATAAAAAGCTCTACTCTTTACATAATGAGGATCATTGGTTTGAGATTCAAGAACGCTTGGAGTCTTGAAAAATCCTAAAGCTCCACCCAAACGCTATAATCAAATCACTGTCATCAGACCATTACTATTGAAACGCCATCTGACTATCACTATCAGACAACCGCCTTATTGCAATCATTGGACCACTACCCGACCACTGCTATTGGACTATAATAATTAGACACTACATGATCGTCATCATTAAACCACTGCCACCACTGGACCACCTCCATTGGACCATTGCCGCTCAGTCTAAGTCGTCAGACTGTCGTTGTCCAACCTCAATTGTCAATTTAACAATGTCTTCATATCACCATCATCGTTTGATCATTTCCTTCATTCGAATACCATTATAAGATCACCATTGACTAATTTCCATCATCAAACGATCATCGTCCGACCACCGCAGTTGGGCCACCATAGCCTAACCTCCAGCATTGAATTGTCGTTTGTTGACTGGCAACATTGGTCCACTGTCACCCAATCAAATCATCAAAATGTTTCTCATCTCTTACTAAGTTTGTGATTTTTTCCACTAACAACTCATAATTTTGTAGGATTATCTTCTTCAATTTGAAGGATGGGTGAATCTTTGTAATAATCTCAACTAATAGAACCATATTTCGGGCTAGGTCAGCGTAGTTTTTTCTCTTCATTGACTTTCTCTTACACTATCTTATTTATATATTTCGTACAAAATGAAGACTCAAAACCGCCCTTATATATAAACTTTCTAGCGTACAAAAATAAATAAGCCCTTCAATAATCATTACATTATTTAATCTCCTCTCCACATTAAACATTCATAATGAAAATCGTAAAAATAGTTGCATGTTAATCATTTCAAATTTGACATATAAAGCCTACTAACTCACACCAATTTCATTTAATATTTTAAAAAAATTTAACTATATTTGAAAGTTCTATTCTTCATTAGTAATAATTATACCATCAATCAAACATTTGGTGGTCTCTAATCAAACCACTGATCCCCTTGGACGTCATTTTCGGGATTATTATGGCTTGACCTTCTTCTTCTTTGAATTTATTTTATATATATATATATATATATAAAACACAAAAATTCCCAATAAAGGTCAAGCCATAATAATCCCGAAAATGACGTCCAAGGGGATCAGTGGTTTGATTAGAGACCACCAAATGTTTGATTGATGGTATAATTATTACTAATGAAGAATAGAACTTTCAAATATAGTTAAATTTTTTTAAAATATTAAATGAAATTGGTGTGAGTTAGTAGGCTTTATATGTCAAATTTGAAATGATTAACATGCAACTATTTTTACGATTTTCATTATGAATGTTTAATGTGGAGAGGAGATTAAATAATGTAATGATTATTGAAGGGCTTATTTATTTTTGTACGCTAGAAAGTTTATATATAAGGGCGGTTTTGAGTCTTCATTTTGTACGAAATATATAAATAAGATAGTGTAAGAGAAAGTCAATGAAGAGAAAAAACTACGCTGACCTAGCCCGAAATATGGTTCTATTAGTTGAGATTATTACAAAGATTCACCCATCCTTCAAATTGAAGAAGATAATCCTACAAAATTATGAGTTGTTAGTGGAAAAAATCACAAACTTAGTAAGAGATGAGAAACATTTTGATGATTTGATTGGGTGACAGTGGACCAATGTTGCCAGTCAACAAACGACAATTCAATGCTGGAGGTTAGGCTATGGTGGCCCAACTGCGGTGGTCGGACGATGATCGTTTGATGATGGAAATTAGTCGATGGTGATCTTATAATGGTATTCAAATGAAGGAAATGATCGAACGATGATGGTGATATGAAGACATTGTTAAATTGACAATTGAGGTTGGACAACGACAGTCTGACGACTTAGACTGAGCGGCAATGGTCCAATGGAGGTGGTCCAGTGGTGGCAGTGGTTTAATGATGACGATCATGTAGTGTCTAATTATTATAGTCCAATAGCAGTGGTCGGGTAGTGGTCCAATGATTGCAATAAGGCGGTTGTCTGATAGTGATAGTCAGATGGCGTTTCAATAGTAATGGTCTGATGACAGTGATTTGATTATAGCGTTTGGGTGGAGCTTTAGGATTTTTCAAGACTCCAAGCGTTCTTGAATCTCAAACCAATGATCCTCATTATGTAAAGAGTAGAGCTTTTTATAGATTCTGAAAGTGATTTGCCCGCTAAATATAACTAATATTCTAAACACTCAACTAAACTATTAGTATTAATTCCCTTGATGATATATAAATATTTCATGAATCTTATAAAAAATTCATTATATGTTTCGCTCCTTAATCCTTGATAGGATGGCCATTTTTTCAACTACTTTTGTTCTCTCATGCTAAAAGAGATGTCAAGAGTTGCATGTAATATTCCCGTCAAATACATTTAGGCTAAATGCCTATGAGTTGTTTTTGATATTTATAATAATTTTGAAGAAAAAATTAACACATTATATAAAATATATTATTGGACTGCTTCTTTTTATGATAAAACTTAAAAATATGTGATTATTTTCCTTAGGACAAAATCAATTTATATTTTTGGGGGAATTAAATAGGTTAAAAATGTGAATTTCTATGGGTAAGGCCTTCTCCAGCCGTTCGGCGGCAAACAGGTGAATGGAGAGCCTCAGACGTCCCAACCGAACTCCATTTTTACCG